CACGATTTCTGAATTCAGAACTATACCCGGGTATGTTTACGTGCTGAAGTAACAGTGGATTGTCTTTTAACCAAGTCTCGCTCATGCAGATTACATCAAAAGGATATTGCTTCATGGTTAGAACTAACTCGTCGAATGTAGAAACCATGCTTTGGGTGTTAAGATGCATTAGTTTTAGGTGTTTTGGTCTGGTGGTGAGAGAAATCATGTGGTTGATGAGGTGTTTATTTAGGTCTAAAGTATCGCTCTCGGTAGAGGAGGATTGTCCCGCTTCTAGTGAGAAACTATCGTTCTGTATGTAATGATAGGGCAATTCAGTCCACAGGCATCTGGAACAAATATAATTACTTATAATAGTTTTGATATCAGTTGTGGATGCAATACATTTTACGTGAAACAGATCGAGGCATGATGTACAGTTAGTTTCCTTTTGATTTTTCCGTATAGTTTTCTCGCACTCATGACATTTGTGCATTTGCCGTGGGCCAGGATTTACTTCGATGTCACCGCTACATGTCAACCGCTGTATTCGTAAACAAGCGACGCTATTTGCATAATACGAACAAGGACGGCGAAATCGTTTAATTCGTCTTGTATTTTTTATGAAAGAGGCATTGTTAACGTAATCTCTTGGGATAGTATAATCGTTGGTGTGTATGCAAATGTTTAAACTTGGCCGCACGTCTTTCGCAATCCATATTGAAAACGTTTGAGATTTGTTCGAAATAGCTTCAGAAGAACCCCGCTCGAGGCTGAAATTTGCAGAAAGTTTTGCGATTCTATACGTGTCCTTGATCCTTTGTAGTGTAGTGACTTCCCTCCAAACAGTGGGTCTCAGGACAAATATAGGCGATGGATTATCCTTGAGCAACAAGTACCGCCAAGGAGAGGCAAAAATGATCGTGTAATTCTCATTACAATTCGAATAGTTGCTGCCCAGAGTCTCAGCGTAGATGCATTGTATACTTGTGTTGTCCACTGTACATTTGTCATTCCCAAAATACGACGGAGAAAGCAGTAAAAAAAGAAAAATAACAGAGCTCGTGAAGCCATGTCTGAACTGCATGACTGCCTAATGTAAACTTCCATGTCTGAACTGCATGTCTGAACTGCATGACTGCCTAATGGATGATTTTTGATTTATAATTTGCATTTTGTATGATTGTCGTAAAGGAATCCAAGATAGTTAATTAGAAATCTGCTAGATTTTAGCAGATCACGTGATCAGCGTCTACCAGGGTCTTTTCTCCCCCAAGAGGAAAGACCCTGGGTACGAGGTTGTACCACCATCACACTCAGAACGCATACTTGCCTAAATAATACGCGTAGTCTAATTCAAGCACGCCGCTGGCCCATAAGCAAACCATGGTGATTTATTTGTTTACATTTTTCCAGGCGTCCAATTGAAGAGCGGGTAGTGAATGCCCTAGGAAAACAATGGCATGTCGAGGTAAGTTAATTTATTGCAATAAATCCTTCTTCAAATTCCTCACACTTTTGTGATCCATTTTAGGTCTTAAATTGTCCTCATTCCCAAATATGATCTACTTAGTAATAACGGCGCTACCATAAAAAATGATGAAATCGCGATGTGTCATAAATTTCCCTGAAAACAATTCAAACTTTTTAACTAATGCACTTGAATGGAATACTATAAGAGCAGATTATAGCGGCGGTTACAGTGTTTTGCTTCAATAGTATAGTGATAGTACAGACCGATTTCAGGATGTTTACTAAAACTAGGAATAAGAAATATAATCTTCGTCAAAAAGCCAACCTCGTGGTATCACTTTTTAAATTTTATAAAAGAAATGATTACAATGTGTACACAAACATGTAGCAAACGATCTCAGGGGAGGTGTGCACCTCCCAGCATCTTTCCTCAAAATCCGCCCATGGTTGAAGGGGCAGTGTCACGGTCCTACTGCGCATCCAAAATATGCGCCAACAATTAGTCAAGTTAGGAGTGAAATACGATATACTATTTATAATCCCTTCGTTATGCAGGACATGAAGACATCCTTGCAGCTTTATTTTAAAAATTGAAGACTGTTGCATCTTTTCCAATCATGTAGCATTAATTTTAAGCGTTTCTTTGCGCCGTTTATTTTAGCCAATCAGCGCCGTGACACTGCCCCTTTAACAACTTGGGAACAAGTATTGGGAACACATCCTGATAACAAGTTGTTGAAACAGCATTGTTACAAGTCTGCTAGAGGTTACTTGTGCACATTTCGGTAGTTGACGTCTAGACAAACATTGTTTGAAATCCAAAACGCGCAGCAAAACTAGACTAGTACTTTACTGAAGTACGAGATATAAGAACTTCAGCCTTTGTAAATATAACGTTATTATTTTCTTGTAGCATTTTGTCTGTGCCAAGTGTGAGAAACCTTTCTATGGGCATCTTCATTATGAGAAGAATGGATTGCCGTATTGTGAAACTCATTATAACGAGGTACGGTATAAATACACTACTACACATGAAGTTATTTTTGCGTTGTATAAACTAAAGCATTCCGACCGAGACTGCATGCGCCACCATTCGGTGACTGCAGTCTCGCCGGACAAGCGCTTTTCTTGGGTCTGATTCTCTCGTTGGCCACGTAAAAAGAGTCCGTCAACGCTTTGCCGTAAGTCGTGGGTTTTTTCGAGTGCTCCGATTTCCTCCCAGGTGGGTTAGGATTAGAGCTGTGCGGTTCCAAAAATTTTATCTCGGTTCCGGTTTCGGGTTTTTTTGGAAAAAAACCTCGGTTCGGTTCGGTTTCGGTTATTTTTAAAAAAGAAGAACAGTGCAAATGTATGAATTCATTTATGTATGTTTCGAGCATTTTTACTAAATAGATGAATTTATGCCTTTGTAAGTTTGTATAAATCTCTGAATATTTTAAAAGAACAGTTGGAATTTATTTATGAAGATGTAATATTTCTTAGTTTTTAAAAAAATTTAAAGCAAGTTCACAAAAATAACTATCACAGCTAAAATATCAACTATTTGAGCACTTAGTACAGTGCATATTGTGCACAAAGAGCACAATCTTGTTATTTTCCAAACATTTCAACCTGCAATCAGGTGGGCGTTTGGAGGGCGTTAAACGGGAAATTAAAACCGAAACTACCGGTTTTTTGCGTATAGTTTTTCGGTGCTGAAAAAAGTACCGGAAGAACCGAATTTTTCGGTTAACCGCACAGCTCTAGTTAGGATAAACACAGTTAATTAAGAAAGTAATTATCACAATCCATTCTTGACATCTCCAACCCTGTGAATTTAGATCCGTGGGTATGGTAACAATACAATATTGTAGCTTTGTCATCATAAAACAACCCGTAGCTACATAGCTAAAAATCCTCGTGGGTAACGCTCCCTGGAATCAACGTGAAAATTAAACGTAATGTCTCCTCACGTGCACATTGAACTGTAATGCGCGTGCATGAGTAGTAGAAAGAGGAAATTACGACGCGCAATTTTAGGAGCGGTGCGAAAAACATTCTGCAATAGGCAATTATCAAATATTCTGGCGTCTCTCCTTATGAGTTTGAATCAGTCTGATAGAAAATGCAACCAAAATGTGTTACAGCTATTGCTCTGCAGCTCTCAACTACATGGAATAAGCCAATATGCGAGAGATGTAATTTTGTATTGGTTTATTTTTCTAGTTGTTTGGAGAAGTATGTTTCAAATGTAATCATGGAATTGTAGGTGGTGAAGGTGTGTACCCCATTAATCAAACATTTGACAATTATTGAATGAGGTTGAGCACGATATGAAGAATTATTAAGCCCGAAGTTTGCCGTTATCAACCGAAGCCGAAGGCTGAGGTTGATAACGGCAAACTGAGGGCTTGATAATTCTTCATATCGCGCAGAAACCGAATTCAATAATTGTTTTATTATTTATTTAAAAAATTCAAAACAAACGGCCATCTATTTGTTCGCCCGCGTTAATCAGTCAATCAAGAATTAGGAAAAGTGTTCTTACCTATTCTAGAAGCTTTTGTTGATCTTTTTGTATTTAGTGAGTCTTTATCTTCCAGTAATTTTTGAATTTCGGTTTCGCCAAGGTTGGCGAACCTTTCAGTGGAAGAAGCCATTTGTATTTTATTTGTATTAAGAAAAAAACAGTTCCTTAGTCCTTCGGCAGCTGTCGTCGTCATATTAATGGCGTCAGCGAATCAATATGATTCTCGTCGCCATAGTAATATGGCGCAAACGCGTCCAAATTTTTTTCATATTGACTCTTTGACGTCATTTTGCTAATATAAATGTGAAAAATCCATATTTGGTTAGCCATTGAGTTGATATGACAATTTCACTGTTGGCTGTTAGCCAATCAGAAACCAGGAATTTTTTAAATAAATAATTGCGACCAGCGAGCGAGCACCAGCGAGCGAGCTGGGAGCATCCTAATCTGTGTCTGTGCGTAGAAAATTTAAATATACCGCTGAGTTCGGATTAGCCCCGGCTCAAGATTCACCGATTCACCGATTCACCTCGGCTTGCATTCCATATTTGGAACATATTTCCATATTTGGAAGACCGCATGGAACGGTATTTCCGCCGCTGTTATGCCGCCCAGTGTTTTATTGGTCTT